CTTGAAGGGTTTCTTTCCCGTGTGTGTTCTCTGGTGTGTTACAAGAGTAGATGACTGTGCAAACGCCTTCCCACACACACTGCACTTGAAGGGTTTCTCTCCTGTGTGAGTTCTCTGGTGCCGTGTCAAATTTGCAGGACGATCCGTGCTGTATGCACACCGGTCGCATTGATGCCTTGTCGCACCGAGCTGCGCCGAGTGCCTTTGCTCCATCAGACCAATTCCTGCAGAGGAAGCGACAGCTGCAGACAGAAAAAGAATATCCACACCATCTACACGTCAGTATCGAGACACAGCGGAATGCATATATACACAGTCACACGTGACTTACACGTCTATACTTATTCATATATTCATGATGTAGTGAAACAGTTTCCCAAATTCATCACACAGGCTGTTATTGCACACAATGAGAGGGTGAATGGTCATAAATATGCCTGGAAGCCCTCGTATCTTCAAAATGAATGTGAACCCAAAACTCCGAGCACACAATTTCGGCTGTCTGGCTACAAATAAAAATGTATAAGAACTAAATTCAGCTGACATAGCAAAGGGTGTTGAAAACAATCCTATTTGTGTTATGCAGAAATGCGTAAATTAATACTGGTAGGAACCTCCTGGTTACACCAGCCCACAGGGGATTATTGTGTCCGTCGTGAAGGGAGGGGGCTGGGTGGGGAGGGTGGAGAGGGGCTGGGTGGGGGCTGGGTGGTGGGTGGGAGGGGTGGGACTGGGTGGGGAGGGGCTGGTCACCCCGTGGTGCCCTTATAAAACTCAACGTTTAACCTACTCACGCCGGCTTGTGCCCGCCCTCACAGTCTGGCATATTTGCGGAATACACCACGCCGCCGTTGACCCTGCAGGCCATTGAGCGAGCAACCCGACGTTCCTAGCAGCTCCCTCCGCAGCAGGAATGTGTTCAGTGGCAACTTAGCGGTATGAAGCCAGGCTCAGATGTCCTTGAATGATGGGATGAACAGATCTGACGTCAGCTGCTGCACGTGTGTGTGCTGTGCTAACTTCCTGTTTCCACTCTTATAAAGAGTTCCAGAGGAAAACTAAAATAAACTATTGTTTTGATATCACCTCCGTGTTCATCAGAGTTAATATACTTTACATTGTCACACACCATCTTTACACTGTCACACACTGATAGACTTTACTGCAAAACACAAACTTGATACTGTCACAGAGTTGATAGACTTCACTGCAAACACAACTCAACACTGTCACACAGAGTTGATAGACTTTACTGCAAACACAAACTTGACACTGTCACACACAGTGCCATGGTAAACCGGTGGTGGTGTGGAGTTTACACCAGACACCCCGCCCCGGTTTTCCCCTCCACATTCAACATCAGCGTCTTTGACAGACAGACATTGACACGCGTAGTCTTGGTTCTTTCGGTAAAGTCACGTAGATAGGAAATAAAAATAACAGATCATGAAATTAAATTAAAAAAAGACCACTTGTGTTGCGATCGAAACGTGGTGGGTTTATTCTTTATTTGCAATTTTTTTTATTTTATTTAACATTATTATCTGTTATTCTTTTTAATCTCCGTGACTTTACCGAAAGAACCAAGAATATGAATTGCTGCACTTACTAAAGTTTTAAGTCAAAACACCGAGACACGCGTTGACAAAACCCACCTTGTGTCGTGGGCAGGTAGCTTCTGTAAACAAGAGCGGTACAGCAGCTCAAGCGGGCTTGGGCTGGTAAAAAAACGAAAAAAAAAACTGCGTTAATATCTACAATAAACCAAAGTGACAAAGTAGCGAGCCGCGTGAAGACAAATTAAACTTAAGAGAGGGAATTAAAGCAAACGCGACCAGGCGAGGGCAGGAGGCAAGGCCCCGCGTGTCTAGGCCCCGCGTTGTAAAGTTCCAACTTGGACATCGATTCACAAGCTGCTGCTGCTCTAGTGACATCCCTACGAGAGAGAGAGCGAGGCTCTAGCTTGGTAAACAACAACAACCACAACAACCACAACAACAACCACCACAACCACAACCACCACGACGATGAGAATTTCTCACCTCGGATTGCAGTTCACGCGCGGACCTCCAGCTTCCTGTTAGCTCGTGACGTCACGCGGCAGCAGATGACGTCACGCGGCTGCAGATGACGTGACGTCACGCGGCAGCAGATGACATGACGTCACGCGGCAGCAGATGACATGACGTCGCTTTCTGGGGTACAAGGACCCTCCCCTCCCACAATGAGAGGCTACCCTAACTGAATAAATTAATAAATTATGTTGATGTTTGCGATCATCAACATTATCAATAAACATCATTTACACCATCATATACACCAATATCATCAGCATCATCATCAGCATCAACAACAACATCATCAGCAACATCATCACCACCCCTAGCCTCAGCAGAAATATCAACATCATCATCAGCAACAGCAACAACAACATCAGCAGCATCAACAACAACAACAACATCATCAGCATCAACAACAACAACATCAGCAACACCGTCACCATCTAGAACAGAGGGGAGGGAAGACTGCGGCCTAGTCGGCCTCGGGCCATCCCGAGTTTTCCTAGCGGACCCGCCGCGCCCGGAGCGCCTCCCCCGGCAGGAGTCGGGATCGAATAACGGGTCCGCCGGGCGTGGTGAACACACACACAGTGTACACACCACACACAGTGCACACACACAGTGCACACAGTGTACACACACACATAGTGCACACACACACACACAGTGCACACACACAGTGTACACACACACACACAGTGCACACACAAAGTGTACACACACACATTGTACACACACACAGTGTACACACCACACAGACAAACACACACAGACACACAGTGTGTACACACACAGTTTACACACAAACACACAGTGTACACACACACAGGACACACACACAGAGTGTACACACACACAGTGCACACACAGACACACATACACAGTGTACTCACACACACACAGTGTACACACACACAGTGTACTCACAGACACACAGTGTACACACACACAGTGTACACACACACAGTGGAAACACACACACAGGACACACACAGTGTGTGTACACACACACACAGTGCACACACACACACAGTGTACACACACACACAGTGTACACACACAGAGTGTACACACACACAGTGCACACACAGACACATACACAGTGTACACACAGACACACAGTGTACAGACACACATACACAGTGTACACACAAATACACAGTGTACACACAGACACACAGTGGACACACACACACAGACACACACAGTGTACACACATAGTGTACACACACACACAGTGTACACACAGTGTACACACACAGTACACACACACACACTGTATACACACACAACAACAGACACACACAGTGTGTACACACACAGACACACAGTGTACACACACACAGACACACACACAGAGTGTACACACACAAACACAGTGCACACACAGACACACATACACAGTGTACACACAGACACACAGTGTACACACACAACAGACACACAGACACACACAGTGTACAAACAGACACACACAGTGTACACACACACAGACACACAGACACACACAGTGTACACACAGACACTCCAACACACAACCGGTTAGTGCTGCTCCAGTGACAGATTGGCACGGTATGTCACGTGATAAACCTTGCGAATCGGCTGTCGGCTGATGGCCGGTTTAACGACACGCATACATTCAAACCTTTATTTGGAGTTGGAGTTTGTGTCTCTCTCTCATCATCACGGTGGCTAGGAGATGTTAACTACCTCGCCTGGTATGCAGGAGGTCGTGGTTTGATCCCGATACTGAAGATTCTTGCTGTATATTTGGAGTTTGTGTGTCTCTCTCTCATCATCACGGTGGCTAGGAGATGTTAACTCCCTCGCCTGGTATACAGGAGGTCATGGGTTTGATCTCGATCCTGAAGATTCTTGCTGTATATTTTGGAGTTTGTGTGTCTCTCTCATCATCATCACGGTGGCTAGGAGATGTTAACTACCCTCGCCTGGTATGCAGGAGGTCGTGGGTTCGATCCCGGCCCTGGCGACCCGCCAAACTGCTGTATATTTTGGAGTCTGCGTGTCTTCTCTCTCTCATCAATCAATCAGTGAGTGGTTAGAGTGCGTGGGTGGGTGATGGTTGTGAGCGAAGTGGTGTGTGCGGGTGAGTGGGGTGTTGAGTGTGTGAAGCGATGTGGGTGTGCGGTCGTGAGTGGGTGGGGTGAGTGTGTGAGGTGAGTGTGTGAGCGAGTGGTGTGTGCGGAGTGAGTGGGTGGGTGCAGTGTGTGAGGTTATTGTGGTGATGAGAGTGTTGTGAGCGCACGTGGGTGTGTGCGGTGTGAGTGTGCGGTGTGATGTGGGTGGGTGAGTGTGTGAGCGACGTGGGTGTGCGGGTGAGTGGGTGGGTGAGTGTGTGAGCGAGTGGGTGTGCGGTTTTTGTTTGGGTTGGGGTGTGCGGGTGATGTGAGTGGGTGGGTGAGTGTGTGAGCGAGTGGGTGGTGCGGTGTGAGTGGGTGGGTGTGTGAGCGAGTGGGTGTGCGGGCGAGTGGGTGGGTGAGGTGTGTGAGGTGGTGTGTGAGCGAGTGGGTGTGCGGGTGAGTGGGTGGGTGAGTGTGTGAGCGAGGTGGGTGTGTGAGGTGCGTGATGGGTCAGTGAGTGGATGAGTGAGGAGGGGTACCAGGTCGTCTACTGGGGGTGAGGGGTCCATTATACAGGGCGGTTCAAAGGTCAAGACACAGTTTCTTGGGTTTTTATTTTATTGTGATTTTCCGAGTTTACAAAGGTAGCTCTCTCTCCATCGTCTCTCCACTCTCTCTTCCTCTCTCCACTGCTGGGCCTGTAGGCTTGGCCCGAGCGAGTTCCCGCCTTTTCACGAGTTGATTCCGCCCCCCGCCGTGGCTTTGTCGGCACGAGGCTTCTGCGCCGGTGAGTGTCAAGGGCTCCAACGGGCCCCAAACCGCTGCCCCGTCGTCACCCGCCGCCGTGGACAAAGCGCCGATGCTCGACATCATGAGCTGCGTGGAGAGGGACCTTCTGGACCTCATGTTGCGCACGGGCTACAACGTCGTCCAGGAGAACGGACAGAGGAAGCTGGGACCGCCGCCCGACTGGCAGGGCCCCCCTCCCGCCCGCGGCTGCGAGGTGTTCGTGGCGAGGATCCCGCGCGACCTGTACGAGGACGAGCTGCTTCCCGTGCTGGAGGCGGTGGGGCAGCTGTACCAGCTGCGCCTCATGATGACGTACGACGGAGAGAACCGCGGCTACGCGTTCGCCACCTTCGCGACGCGCTCGCAAGCCGCGGACGCCGTCAAGAGACCCCACGACTTGGAGATCCGCCCGGGGCGACGGATCGCGGTTTGCGTGAGCGTCGACAATCGCCGCCTCTTCTTGGCGAGGCTGCCGAAGGACAAGACGCGGGCCGAGGTGATGGCGGCGATGAGCGACGCCACGGAGGGCGTCGTGGACGTCCAGATGCGCTTCTGTCGCTACGACAGGAGCCTCAGCCGAGGCTACGCGTTCGTCGAATACGAGAGCCACCGCGCGGCCTGCATGGCCCGCAGGGTGCTGCTGCCGTACTCCTTCCGGCTGTGGGGCCGGGACATCAACGTGGACTGGGCCATCCCGCAGCGAGAGCCGGGGGCGGCGGCTGCTGCTGCTGCCGCGGCGGGTGGCAACGGAAGACGACGAGGAGGGGGGGGAGGAGGAAGCGGCAACTGAAGACGAGGAGGAAGAGGTGGTGGAGGAGGAGGAGGTGGAAGAGGTGGTGGAGCGGGAGGAGGAGGCAACGGAAGACGAGGAGGAGGGGGGGAGGAGGAGGTGGAGGAGGAGGATGTGGAGGAGGAGGCAACGGAAGACGAGGAGGAGGAGGAGGCGGGGGCAACTGAAGATGAGGAGGAAGAGGTGGTGGAGGAGGAGGAGGTGGAAGAGGTGGTGGAGGAGGAGGAGGAGGAGGAGGAGGTGGGGGAGGAGGGGGAGGAGGAGGAGGGGGAGGAGGAGGCAACGGAAGACGAGGAGGAGGGGAGGAGGAGGCGGGGCAACTGAAGATGAGGAGGAAGAGGTGGTGGAGGAGGAGGAGGAGGATGAGGTGGTAGAGGAGGAGGAGGTGGTGGAGGAGGAGGAGGAGGAGGCAATTGAAGACGAGGAGGAGGTGGCGGCGGTCCCCAGGCCTCCCGCAGCCGGAGTGCGCCGTCTGCGGCAAGGTCCCGCACAGCCTGTTTGTGGGCTGGGCGGCGCGCACGCAGCTCTGGCGGGCACCCCGCCACTCGCGGCCCACGCCCGTCGGTCTGGACGAGCTGCCGGAGGCGGCCGTCTTGTCGTGGGAGACGCGTTTGCAGGCGCTGCTACGGAGCGCCGGCGTGGGCCACGCGACCTTCGAACTGCACGCTCACTCGGAGCCCGGCAGGCCCATGGGCCTCCTGTACAAGGTCTCCGTTCCCGGGATGATGCGGGAAGGCAGCGGCTTCTTCCCCGCGGTGCTGAGCTCCAGCGTGGAGGGAGCGCGCGAAGTTGCCAGCGAGCTCCTCCACGAAATCCTCAGCGACGCGAACCCGAGGGCGGGCCCGGCCCCCGTCGCGACGGCGCCTCCGGCCGCCCCGTCCGGGACCTCCCGGCGTATCCCGGCGACTTCCCCGCGCCCCGGCAGCCGGTCGCCGCGCGCCTGCCGACAAGCGGCACGCACCCGTAGTGCCGCGTGGCCGTCGTGGCGGCGTTCGTCAGACCGCGGACGGTGTCCTACCGCTTGAAGCTCACATCCGTTCTGCCGTGTTCACCGTCAAACTGCAAGTTGCCCGGCCGCTCACTCGACATGGTCACGTTGCCGCATGCCAGAGCTCGCAATCGGGTACCCGTACACGTTCCCTACCCGATACCCGGCTACCCGTACCCGGCCGGGTACGGGTAGGGTACAGGTATCGGGTACCCGATTGCGACCTCTGGGATGAAGCCACGTTGCAGGCGCGGGTGGGTTGATTCTAGGAACTTGAATTGTGAGAAGAGACAAGACGTTGGCAAATGAGTGACACACGGTGACTCACCAGTGACTCACGGCTTACCCGTACCCGGCCGGGTACGGGTAGCCGGGTATTGGGTAGGGTACGGGTATCGGGTACGGGTAACCGGGTATCGGGTAGGGTACGGGTAGCCGGGTATCGGGTAGGGTACGGGTATCGGGTAGGGTACGGGTAGCCGGGTATCGGGTAGGGTACGGGTATCGGGTAGGGTACGGGTATCGGGTAGGGTACGGGTAGCGGGTATCGGGTAGGGTACGGGTATCGGGTAGGGTACGGGTACCGGGTACCCGGTTGCGACCTCTGCCGCTCGCTCTCCACTCAGCCGTCCGCCCCCTTTCCTGTTTCCCTCGTTGGGGGGGGACCAGCCCTGACTTCACGTTGTGCCTCATTTGACTCGTCACCCGTGGCCCCGCACACGTCCTCGTCACACCAGGTGTCACCCTGTCATTACACTCTAATGACGACCGACAACTGAATCCGTAAAGACAAAATGATTTCAGGTGTTTTACGCGTCAACGCCATTTTGTTTTGAAAATGTCGGGGAGAAAAAAGTATTTTGTTCACGTCGCATTCTGATGTCAAAACATTTGATTCTTTATCAAATTGAAAAACTCTTCAGCGTAGCGACTTTGCTACACACGGAGAGGTCCGTGCACCGCCTCGTTTGCACAGCCTCTATCCCTGTGCCACGTGTAGTTCGTGCACACACAGCTGTTAAGAGTTTGATGTTTTGTTGATTCACAATTTACGTGTGTTTTCCTGTAATGGTTTTTTGTTAATGTTTTAGTGGAAATAAAGTCGTGAAAAGTCTCTTCCTCTCTCTCTCCCCACTCTCTCGGCCGAGTGTCGCATGCTTGGGACCTTTCTTTCCCTCCTCTGCGGATTTAATTTGATGTGCTGATTTACACCCAGCATATTTCAGACTTCCCTGTTTTGTCAGGGCATGTTCCTGATCATTACCAACGTTCCAATGGCCAGGAACTTCAGAGTAACCTATTACCTTTTCATGCAGCATCATAATATAATTTTCCTGGATCATCGCCTTTATAGCTTTGATCAATTGCCAATGGTTTACCGGTTCGTGTTAGTGTTTACTTGTGCCGCCCTCTTTCCCAGTGGGACCACGTGGCGTGAAGTTGTGTCGCACATGAACAGAGTCGGTGCACATCACGAGTCTCCGTACTCGACTGTCACAGAGACACACAGAGACACACAGAGACATTGATACACACAGAGACACACACACAGAGACACACACACAGACACACAGAGACACACAGAGACACACACACAGAGACATAGACACACACAGAGACAGACACACACAGAGACACACACACAGAGACACACACAGACACGCAGAGACACACACACAGAGACATAGACACACACAGAGAGGACACATACAGACACACACGCAGAGACACACACAGACACACAGAGACACACACACAGAGACATAGACACACACAGAGAGACACACACAGACACACACGCAGAGACACACAGACACACAGAGACACATGCAGAGACACAGACACACATACAGACACACAGAGACACATGCAGAGACACAGACACACACAGAGACACACATAGACACACACAGAGACACACACAGACACACGCAGAGACGCACAGAGACACACACACAGAGACACACACGCAGAGACGCACAGACACACACAGAGACACACATGCAGAGACACAGACACACACACAGAGACACACACACAGACACACACACACACAGAGACACAGACACACACACAGAGACATAGACACACATGCAGAGACACAGACACACACACAGAGACACACAGACACACACAGAGACATAGACACACACACAGAGACACACACACACACAGAGACACACAGACACACACATGCAGAGACACAGACACACACACGCAGTGACACAGACACACACACACACAGTGACACACACACAGAGACACACAGTGACACACACACAGAGACACAGAGACACACACAGAGACATAGACACACACACAGAGACACACACACAGAGACATGGACACACACAGAGACACAGACACACACATAGACACACACACAGAGACACACGCAGAGACACACACACACACAGAGACACACACAGAGACAGACACACACAGAGAGACACACACAGACACACACGCAGAGACACACAGACACAGAGACACACATGCAGAGACACACACACACAGATATAGACACACACACAGACACACACACAGAGACACAGACACACACAGAGACGACATGGACACACACGTAGACATGCAGAGACACACACACATAGAGACATGGACACACACGCAGAGACACGTAGAGACACACAGAGACATGCACGCAGAGGCACAAAGACACGCAGAGACATAGACACAGACACACCGTTACAGACACAGACACACGCAGACACACGCAGAGACACAGACACGCACAGAGACCGGCAGTTGATGCTGCAGCTGCTGCATAGAGTTTGTGTCTCTCTGTCTTTCTGTTGTCGAGTGGATTTTCTTTCCGGGCCCTCTGGTTTTCCCCTCCACATTTGAGAGCCGTGAGTTGCTAGAGTCTTTGCCAACTGCTATAAAGGTTCACGTGATGATGATGATGAACCTCATTGGTAGAACTGTCATCGGTAATGGCCAGCTCAGGGCCTTCTAAAAGAGAGCTTACACACACAGCATCTCAATGAGGCCCTTGCCCGCTAAAAATAAAACGCGGTTTAGTTTCTAGTTCAAGTCTTGTGCACAACAACAACAGCATCATCACGACGCGCCCACCTGCTCAGAGCAGTTCCAGCCCAGGTAAGTGAACTTGCCACCTTTATTACCATCACCACCAGCACCACAATGTCTCCCCCAGTAAACAACAAAACAGCTGGGCAGGCAGCCTCACTCACGGGGCAAGCAGCCAGGCAAGGAGAGAGGAGGCCAGGCCATGGACAGACCGGGACACAACCAACGCTGGGACACGTGGTGAGTCTGTGGGTCTCTGTGTGGCGAGTCTGTGGGTCTCTGTGTGGTGAGTCTGTGGGTCTCTATGTGGTGAGTCTGTGGGTCTCTGTGTGGTGAGTCTGTGGGTCTCTGTGTGGCGAGTCTGTGGGTCTCTGTGTGGTGACCCCAGCCCTTGTCAGGGCTGGGGCTCAGTGTCACCAGTGGTCAGGGGAGATAGGTCCTGGATAGGACCCTGGCTCCCAGCCTTCCCGCCCTTGTGAGGGCGAAGGTCTCGAGTGAGCAGAGGGTCGGGGACCCGCCGGGTCGGTGTGCCTCCCCTAGGTCCAGCCGGGAGGACGCTGGGCTAGTGGGGAGATTGGATAGACGGCAAGTCTGGAGGACGCTGGGATGGCGGGGAGATGGATAGACGGCAAGTCTGGAGGACGCTGGGCTGGCGGGGAGATTGGATAGACGGCAAGTCTGGAGGACGCTGGGATGGCGGGGAGATTGGATAGACGGCAAGTCTGGAGGACGCTGGGATGGCGGGGAGATTGGATAGACGGCAAGTCTGGAGGACGCTGGGATGGCGGGGAGATTGGATAGACGGCAAGTCTGGAGGACGCTGGGCTGGCGGGGAGATTGGATAGACGGCAAGTCTGGAGGACGCTGGGATGGCGGGGAGATTGGATAGACGGCAAGTCTGGAGGACGCTGGGCAAGGGGGGAGATTGGATAGACGGCAAGTCTGGAGGACGCTGGGCTAGGGGGGAGATTGGATAGACGGCAAGTCTGGAGGATGCTGGGATGGCGGGGAGATTGGATAGACGGCAAGTCTGGAGGACGCTGGGCTAGGGGGGAGATTGGATAGACGGCAAGTCCGGAGGACGCTGGGATGGCGGGGAGATTGGATAGACGGCAAGTCTGGAGGATGCTGGGATGGCGGGGAGATTGGATAGACGGCAAGTTTGGAGGACGCTGGGCTGGCGGGGAGATTGGATAGACGGCAAGTCTGGAGGACGCTGGGCTGGCGGGTAGATTGGATAGACGGCAAGTCTGGAGGACGCTGGGATGGCGGGGAGATTGGATAGACGGCAAGTCTGGAGGACGCTGGGCTAGGGGGGAGATTGGATAGACGGCAAGTCTGGAGGACGCTGGGCTAGGGGGGAGATTGGATAGACGGCAAGTCTGGAGGATGCTGGGATGGCGGGGAGATTGGATAGACGGCAAGTCTGGAGGACGCTGGGCTAGGGGGGAGATTGGATAGACGGCAAGTCCGGAGGACGCTGGGATGGCGGGGAGATTGGATAGACGGCAAGTCTGGAGGATGCTGGGATGGCGGGGAGATTGGATAGACGGCAAGTTTGGAGGACGCTGGGATGGCGGGGAGATTGGATAGACGGCAAGTCTGGAGGACGCTGGGATGGCGGGAGATTGGATAGACGGCAAATCTGGAGGACGCTGGGATGGCGGGGAGATTGGATAGACGGCAAGTCTGGAGGACGCTGGGATGGCGGGGAGATTGGATAGACGGCAAGTCTGGAGGACGCTGGGCTAGGGGGTTGATTGGATAGACGGCAAGTCTGGAGGATGCTGGGCTAGGGGGTTGATTGGATAGACGGCAAGTCTGGAGGACGCTGAACTAGCGGGGAGATTGGATAGACGGCAAGTCTGGAGGACGCTGAACTAGCGGGGAGATTGGATAGACGGCAAGTCTGGAGGACGCTGAACTAGCGGGGAGATTGGATAGACGGCAAGTCTGGAGGACGCTGGGCTAGCGGGGAGATTGGAT